CAGTAGAAAAGAGAGGACAAATTTTTAAAAATATACATTTTGAAAATGTATATATTGGCTTTTAATAAAACTAGTCTCAAAACACCTTAGAAAACATTGAAATAATATATCAGCCCTTAGCATTGAGTCAGTAGATAAGATCTTTCTTATAATCAGAGGTCAACTCACAACTGTTCCAGTAGCATTCTCTTTCTGGCCAAGATTATGATGTAAACCACGTTGCAGCTGTTTCTCCTTTGACTGATGGATGGCACCAGATTGATTTTCCCCCTTGACATGGCATTCTTGTTGTGAGACAAGAATTGTCCTGCAAGCTTTCAGTGGCTATTAAATTATTGACCAAAACAAAATTATGCTTCCATTCTTCCCTGCACCAGATTCAGTAAATCAACAAGGCTTTATTCCTACAATTTATTGGTATAAAAATAATTTGATATATTTTGGTGCCTTAAAAAAGGCCTGAGCACACAGTTGCTTACCCCTGCTGATTAATGTGACTACACACAACTTTAAAGAAAGCTGCCAGGAGTTTTAGGATAGGAATCACATCATGCCAGGAATGGAAGATTCAGCCTTGACTCATGGTGAATCAAACTGCCTTAAATGATTTCCAGAGAGATAATCCTCGATTTACGACCACAGTTGAGCCCAACATTTGTTGCTATCAAGAAATTTGTTAAGTGAGTTTTGCCCCATTTTACATCCTCTCTAGCCACTGTTGTTAAGGAAATCACTGTAGTTCTTAAGTGAGTAAGAATACCGCAATTGTCATAAATATGAGTGAATTGCCAAGTGTCTGAATTTTGACCATGTCACTGTGATGATGCTGCAACTGTTGTCAGTGTGAAAAACAGTCATAAGTCCCTTTTCTCAGTGCCATTGTAACTTCGAGAGGTCACTAAATGAATTGTTGTAAATCAAGGGTTACCTGTACATTGTTCCCTTGCAATAAACTGAGATGGCCAAGGGCATCTTTGGGGCATGGCTCCCATCAATTTGAAGCAGCTTTCCTTTACTTAGCGATCTTTAGTTCTTTCACTTCAATTCCTAGAATTCCTTTATAGGCTCAAATGGGGGAATCTGCCTCTGAAACAAGGTTTCCAGAGAACTCAAGGCAAAACTTATTTAAGATCTTGATCTCTTGGTCCTTCCAAATGTTTTCTGTCCCAGATCTGCCCATTGTCACATGGTAGAGTGTGAAGTGAGGGAGACGAGGTCACCATGGATGATCCTTGTGATATCTCCACCATTTCTTTGACCTGTTACTAGGGATTTTTCTGAACATGGATTTACCAAACCTCTGACAGACTGTCCAAGCTATGTCCCAGAATAACTTCTATGACAGGATTAGAGGAGGGTCCCAAGAAGGAATAGGAAGGAGCTCTCTTGGCACCCCCTTGTGTTTCCTCTCATGTCTCTTCCCCATCGAATGTTCAGGTGTCCTATTTTGGCCATGTCTTCTCTTAGGCTTCCAAAAATCTTGTGTTATAAAATAAGAAATTCACATTTCCAATGGGGAACATGTCAAGCTGTTACCCTGCAGTCCCATCACGTGCTGAGAGTGACAAATAGAAGGAGGTTTTTTTTTGTTTCAACAGAAACAAAAAGGACTATACCCTTTCAGGCAAATGGCTGCCCAATCTCTTCTTTAAATTCTCCAATGATGGAGCACTCGCAGCTTCTGAAAGCAAGCATTTCTGAGGGAAAACAACAGACATTCCTCAACTTACGACCACAATTGAGTCCAAAATCTCCATTGCTAAGCGAGACAATGGTTAAGGGACTTAAGTACATGCCAGTTGCCAAGCATCCAAATTTCAGGTGATCCGAGGGATGCTGCAAAGATCACAAGTGTGAAAAACGTTCCTAATTCGCTTTTTTCAGTGCCATTGTAACTTCAAACGGTCACTAATGAATGATTGTAAATGGAGGATTGCCTGTATATATTTGCCAACAGACTAATTCTTAACGGCACACAAAATTTGGGGATTAAATGTGGATTAAGGTATTTATTTATTTTTTCTTTTCCTTTCTTTTTTGGTACGGAAGAAGATGGGTGGGTTTTGATGTTTAATTTGCCTTTTTTAAAAAAAAAAATCTCAGAAGATGACATTTGAAGCTTCGTTCCTTCTTAGATTGTAAGATCTAACTTCAGACTGTGTGATTCTAAAAGACTTAGTCTCCATGTTTTCGAAGGTTGTCTTCAAGGTGGTGCCATGCAGAAGTCACCCCAATGTGCCCAGCCCCCTGACTTTGGGGAGACTGATCGCTTTCACTTTGTACAACAGTTGCTTTCATTGTACAAGAACCTGGCTTAGTCTGGTTTGCCTTGAACAAGAGAGGAATGCTACGCTGCAAAGCAGCTGCTGTTTGCACGGAGGGTAGAATTGCTCTATAAATAATTCAGAAGGTAACAGGCCAGAGACAGCTGAAAAACAGCCCTGCAATCTAGACAGAGACACCTGCCTCTTCTTGCTGTTCGTTCTCAGCAATGTATGGGTGCTTTTTAATCTAATCCACATCTATAGAGAGAGGTTTGCTGAGCTTTGGAGTGTTTTGCACTGCATGAAATTGTAAATTCAAACCATAGAATTTAGATGAGGAAATCTTCTGTCTTTTCTTATTTCCTTCCTTCCTTCTTTCCTTCCTTCCTTCCTTCCTTCTTTCTTTCCTCTTTCCTCTCTTTCTCTTTCCTTCCTTCCCTTTTCTCTCTCTCCCTCTCCCTTTTTCTTTCATTCTCTTATTCTTTCTTTCTTCTCTTTCTCTTTCCCTCTTTCTCTTTCTTTCTGTTGCTTTCTTTTTCTCTCTCTTCTTTCTTTTTCTTTCTCTCTTTCTTTCTTTCTTTATCTCTCCCTTCCTTCTTTCTTTCTTTCATCTTTCCCTTTCTCTCTTTTTCTTTCTGTTGCTTTCTCTCTTCTTTCCTTCCTTTCTCTCTCTCTCTCTCTCTTTCTCCTTTCTCTTTCTCTCTCTCTCCCTTCCTTCCTCCCTTCCCTTCCAACTGTTCTTGAAAGAAAATCAGGGAAGCAGGCATGGGTCCTCCACATTTTATCCCACCAAACATGCTGTGAAATAGCTTATGCTCACAAGGATTGCTTGAAGATCCCCAGAAAGTTACGCGTTTGAATGAAGATTCATATCAGGGTGTGAATTTATATTTAAACATTCTAATCATTTAATTACATCCCTTAAATCAATTTGCCACATATTTTAAAATACGTTTTACCGTACTCTTTGTCTATAGTATATTAATATACATTATTCATAGTTCACGCTTAGAACTGATGTTTCTAATTTGTATATCAAAGGGAATTTTGTTTAACACAGAATATTGTGTATATATTCAGGTGTTCTTTTTGAAAGTCTTTCACTCAATTAATTGAAAAGGACTCTCATAGTCTTTTCTTTCTCTGATTAAAAACTTATTTTAAAAAAGATTTTTTAGGGTTGCCAGGTATCCACTATTTGAGCGGACAGTCCGCTTTTTTCACATTATGTTCACTATTTTTTTTCACAAAATAGTGGACATTTTTTTTATTCAAAAGCTTTATGGTGAAATGGTACGTAATCTAAAGCTGTACAGTCTAAGAGAATAAGGATAGGAGAATCACGTTTTGTCTTTTTTTTCATAAGTTAGAATGAGACAAAGAAAATATATAATTTAATTGTAATTTTTTTTTTATTTTTTTACTACTTAACCCACCCACCCCGCTTGTCCGCTATTTTTTGGAAGCAGACCTGGCAACCCTAAAAAAGAAAGAAAATCGCAATCCACTTTAGGCCTGATTAATATCCGCATGGGATTCCTTACCCCAAAATACAACAACACATTAATTATTAATGTATTGTAGAAATTCTACAATAATTTCTGCTATTCTACCTTCCCATTCTAGTTTTTATAATATATTGTCTGGGTCAACAAGCTTTTACAGTTAGCAGCAAATTATAGAAACTTTTGGCATAATAGAAAAACAACCCTCTATCCAGAGATTTGAAAATCATTTGGGTTGTAACATGCCATATATAATTATGATTTACCTTTACTTGCATTTTGCTGAGCCACATCATATTCATTTCATGGGTTTCTTTGCCTTATTTCAGTATATTTGAATTAAAAATGCAATTTAAACAAAAAATAAAATGACAGTGAATTCTACCTTGATAATCAAGGAAGAGCCCTGCAGAACTCAAAATTTTGTAACACGAGCCACACATCAAACTATTAAGTACATTATGCTAAACCAAGGGTTGAATAGGGTTGAAGTTGCTCAGAGTCACCTGAATTATAAGATAAATGGCAAATAAATCTAAGAAAGAAAGAAAGGGGGGAGAGAGAGAGAGAGGGAAAGAAAGAAAGAAAGAAAGAAAGGAAAAAGGAAAAAAAGGGAGGGAAGGAGGGAGAGAGAGAGAGAGAGAGAAAGAAAGAAAGAAAGAAAGAAAGAAAGAAAGAAAGAAAGAAAGAAAAAATATTTCATACTTGATAGACCTTCTTATCTACAAAGAACAGACCTCCTGATTGGTGCTACTCTTCTTGATGGACCTTACTTTCCTCTGATCTACTGGGCTCTTTAACAAGAGCTATTTTCTGCAAAATTTGATTTATTTCTATCCTTCCCTCAAGCATGTGTAACAGGTGCATTTTTAGCATTTTTTTTAAAAAATAGTCTTCAAGGAATGAAGGAAAGGGAGGGAGGGAGGGAGGGGAGAGGAGAGGAGAAGAGAGGAGAGGAGAAGAGAGGAGAAGGAAAGGAAAGGAAAGGAAAGGAAAGGAAAGGAAAGGAAAGGAAAGGAAAGGAAAGGAAAGGAAAGGAAAGGAAATGGAAGAGAAGAGAAGAGAAGAGAAGAGAAGAGAAGAGAAGAGAAGAGAAGAGAAGAGAAGAGAAGAGAAGAGAAGAGATGGAACGAATTCTTACTAAAGCAGATGATAATGGAAGAGAAGAGAAGAGAAGAGAAGAGAAGAGAAGAGAAGAGAAGAGAAGAGAAGAGAAGGAACGAACTCTTACTAAAGCAGATGATTCAAAACAGAGCAGGTTTCCAGGACAGAAGGATCAGTGACCATCCCAGGACAGATACAGAAGGCAAGTGAGTGGTTCTCTCCCCCCCAGATCTTCCTATATATAGCCCAATGATACATCATATTTCTGGAATGGCATCCAATTTTCTACATGTATTTCTTAATAGGACAAGGTAGAGGTGACTATTGATAAGGTCATTCCTTACCCCACTAGGCATATTATTGGAATGCTTAGGGTTTGGGGTGCACCCTTCCATTTGCTCAAATTCTCAAGAGCCCTCTAGGAATTAATTTTTTTACTTCATACTGTGAAAATCCTGACTCTGCTCCATTGGAAGGCAGCCTTTGAATTTCTGAGTACTTAGAACAGCTGCAGAAGGAAGCTATCCAATTTCCTAGCTGATGAAATTGCAAGGGACTACCAGCTCATAAGTGGATGTGGGGGGAAGGGGGTAATAACTGGAGAAAATTGAATAGGTGGCCAAGGATGGGATGGGCAATTCAGTCAGATGGCAGATGAACAGGCATGGTTTATTAGAAATGATAATAAGATGAGTTTGCAGCCAATCGTGGTTCCCTGTCCAGGTGCATGTATTGATAAATGAATGTATACATTTTATAAACAGGTGAATGTAATATTTGTTGCCTGCACTATTTTATATTTGGGAATAAGTTTCAACCATATCATAAGGGAATCAAGGCAGATAAACCTATTGTGAGGCACCAGAAGTCATTTTATGGGGGGACTGAATCGATTTGATCTATGCAGCATAATCCCTCAGGGAGGTGCTCTGCCCAAGCCCTCTTGGAATCAAGAGAAGCTACGCAAGGATGCTCTTGTTTCGCCATGTGAAGCCACTTCAGCTGGACTCTAACCCTTTATTAACAAGCATTTTTGGTGCGGCGGATGTGGGGGAGAGAGAGAAGTGCCACTCAATGCCTATTATGTTTCAGCGTCTAATATGCTTGCCCTGTCTCGTTATTTTGCATACTGCACAGTTGCACCATAAATGTAGAAGGGAGACCATTAATGACAGAATGGGACAATTCGCTATGGCCAACTTGCCACAGGCATCTCGTTGTGGCCATCTCACTGTAGCCAACTCATCACGGCCAAGTAGACAATTGTCAAATGAGTTTTGCCCTTTTACTATTTTTCTTGCAGTTGTTTAGTAGCACGGTTGTTGTTGTTGTTTTTAAACAAATTTTATTTCATAGTCAGCATACATAAACAAAAAATCAATCATATATATATATATATATATATATATATATATTCTCAGGTTTTCGCGGGTGTTTGTATGTAGGTCTTTGGTTATTCGGTCTATGCACGCATAGAAGAACACAAGAACTCAGTCAGAAAAGAGGAACCAACTTCTTCCCTGGTCCAACACCTTAAAGCCACAGGCCATGATATTGACTTTAAAAAGACCAGAACTATCGCCAAAACTGAACACTTTAACAACAGAATAATCAGAGAAGCCATCGAGATAGAAAAACGCCCACACAGCATGAACAAACGAGACGATACCTCCTGTCTACCAGCCATTTGGAAACCCGCCCTTACTGATAAACGAATCCCTAACACGACGAATGACACCAGACCCACACTCACGAGAGCCACACAGGATGTCACCACCACACATCCACACAGAAAGCAGACTCAAACCCACACTGATAATGAGCCACGACCAAGGACCAGAAGCCAGACCGCAGCTGCATCATTAGCCATTTTAAACCCCTCCAATCCATACATGAAGCAGACTGACACCCACCATGAAGAGCTCGCACGGCCACAAACACGAAGCCAAACAACAACAACGCAGCTCACCAGCTCAAATCCCCCTGCAACTCAGACTAAGCTGAGCACAACCAAGCCCCCACCCAAACAGAACACCCCCCATCCAATCAGAGCACAACCAACCCCTCATCCAATCAGAGCACAGCCAAGCCCCTAACCAATCAGAACACACCTCCACCCAATCAGAACACAGCCAAGTTCCCACCCAATCAGTTCACCCCTCCCCACTAGCAGTTAAAAGGAAGAGACAGCTGCGATCTCACATTGCTCCTGGAAGCACGAAGCCGAGAACACCAGCCTGAAGAAGACGAATGAGACTTCGTCGAAACGTCGCCAAGACACTTCCAATTTTACGTGGGAGAAGACCCGAATAAAAACATTTAACAAACCTTAATAAAAGACCCCACAAACTAATTATCTATAGATTTATCTAACACTTGTACTTTAACTCTCCTTGTTCAAAACAAAATATAACTTTTCTTGCTTAAAGGTAGTTAAACAAAACCAACTTGTTCCTCCACAGAATAACATTAATGTTAAATTTAACATCCAAAAGAAAGTTTCTTTTTTAATCCATTATTTGAAATAATTTTTAGATATAATCCATCCAATCATCATAAATAAAGATTTTTTCAAAACCAAACAAATCATATCCTTAATGAAAAATTAATCATGTCTTGAATACCAATATAATCACCTCCACAGAATAACATTAATGTATATAACCTTAAATTTAACATAATCCATCTAATCATAAGTAAAAAAATTTCAAAACCAGATCATATCCTTGATAAAAATTAATCATGTCTTGAATACCAATACAATTATAAAAATTCACATTTATATAACAGTTGAAACATCCAGTCATAAGTAAAAAAAAAATTTCAAAACCAAACAAATCATATCCTTAAAAAAATCTTGAATACCAATACAATCATTCACCATGTGATCCTGCCTAACAAAGAGGAATAAAATTCTTCCACTTCCATTTCCCCCTGGTTTTTTTCTGAGCCTTCTTCTTCCGCTTTATTCCAGCATCTTTTATTTCTACAAGCTTTTGTGTATTCAACTGTAATTTTATCTTCCAGTCCTGTGCAGCTCGCAAAGTAATTCCTTTTAAGAAACACGCCTCTTTAATTAGGATTAAAAGTCCATTTTTATAAAGAAATTGTAATGTTCCATTTCTAATCCTTCTTGATATCTTGAAAATCCAAGCTTCTCCCAGCACTTTTCCTCTCATCTGCATCAAAACCTCTGGATAGATCTCACTCTATATCTCCGGATTAACCTCCTTCAAGCCCATCAGTTTATTCATAATTTGGGAAACATCCTTTCCATGTTCCTCAGGTGTTTTTACTTGAATTACTTCTTCTTCCTCCTCTTTCAACATTGCAACTTTATTATCAATTTGAATAATAAACTTCTCAAAGATCTCATCCAGTCTTTCCATAAATGATTTTTGCCATGCTTCCAAAAAATCCATTGTCAGTGTTTGTACACTTGCTGAATACTGTGCTGAGAAACCTCCATTCTCTTCAAAAATCTTTGCCTCTGCCATCTTTTCTTATGCTGCAAACTTAAATTCCCACTTCATTCAGCAAAGCTTCAAAGTACTGACAGCTATAACGATCTTAACAAGCGCAAACAAGCTTTAACAATCACTTTCTTCTTAGACTTCCGTTCTCTATCAGCACCATTTTGTATCTCTTTAAAACTTTCACTCGAATCTGAAAGGACTCATTATTCATCAGAGTTAAAGGAAAGAAAAATACTTGCGAGAAGCTCTCCTGTTTTGTTCTGCCTGCGTAAAAATCAATCCTTGAAATCACTTGTTTTGCAGGGATGGTCACGGCGCCTTGTTCCGTCAGAGATAGAATCCCGAGTCTGGAGCTGCTTTCCAGGCGTTTGGGGAGCCCTCATCCTCTGCACCTCCAGGATTAATCCTGGAGGTTTTGGGGGGCTCTACCCTATACACCTGAGCACTCACCTCCCCCTCTTTGCTCGAGGGGGAAGTTCCAGCCGCCAAAATGGCTGATTTAAGCTGTTTTGGCGGTTTTACAGATCCCGGAGTTAGGAGCTCACAAAGGAGCTGCAGCAGCACTGGCGGTGCCAGTGGAAGTCGAGTAGCACGGTTGTTAAGTGAGTCTTGATCCCCCCACTGACTTTGCTTGACAAATGATCGCAAAAAGTGATCACATGACCCCTGGATGCTACAACCTTCATAAATACGAGTCAGTTGCCAAACGTTTGAATTTTGCTCATGTGACCATGGAGATACTGTAATGGTCATAAGTGTAAAAAATTGTCATAAGTCATTTTTTTTCAGTACTGTTGTAAGTTCAAATGGTCACTAAGCAAATGGTTATAAACCAAGGGCCACTTGTAGACATTGGGGAGTGGTTCTATCATAGAATCATAGGATTGAAAAGAGCCTCAGAGGTCTTCTAGTCCAGCCCCCTGCCAAAGGCCTTATACCATCCCAGACAAATGGTTGTCCAATCTGTTCTTGAAAACTCCCAGTGTTAGAGCATCCACAAATTCTGGAGGCAAGTCATTCCCCTAATTAATTAATTAATTGATTGATTCATCATTCTCACTGTCAAGAAATTCCTCCTTGTTTCCAGATTGGATCTCCGTCTGATAAATTTCTGCCCATTACTTCTTGTCCTGCTCTCAGCTGCTAGGGAGAATAATAGCAATAGCACTTAGACTTATATACCGCTTCATAGTGCTTCACAGCCCTCTCTAAATGGCTTACACAATCAGCATTTTGCCCCCAGCAATCTGGGTCCTCATTTTACCAACCTCAGAAGGATGGAAGGCTGAGTCAATCTTGAGCTGGTCAGGATCTACCGTGTTCCCTGCGCCAGCCCTTCAAATATAATGCAATCCTAAATTGTATTAACAGAAGGATACAATCAAGATCAAGTAAGATGCCAATTCCACTTTATAAAGCCTTAGTAAGACCACACCTAGAATGCTGCATCCAGTTTTGGTCACCAGAGTATAAAAAAGATGTTGAGACTCTAGGGCAGAGAAGAGCAACTAAGATGATTAGGGGACTGGAGGCTAAAACATATGAAGAACGGTTGCAGGAACTGGGCATGGCTAGTCTAGTGAAAAGAAGGATCAGTGAAGACATGATAGCAGTGTTCCAATATTTCAGGGGCTGTCACAGAGAGGAGGGGTCAAGCTATTTTCCAAAGCACCCAAAGGCCAAACAAGGAATAATGGATGGAAACTGATCTATTCTATTCTATTCT